GATTTGGAGTCTCCTGAGGATTTGAAGATAGACCCAGATGACCTAGAAGGAGGTTCGGTTAAGGTACTGGATGTTAAATATTGTTTGTTTGTTTGTTTTTTAACAATACCGAGATCTTTTATTTTTACATTTATGCCATGAATTCACAGGGAATGGGTTCCAGCAGCTCAGGCTCCTTTCCATTGGTTCTCACACAGTGTGCTTCTCTGGGTGGGGCAGGCTGGCGCTTCAGTTGAACCCAAGTACCTTTCTCTTTGGCTTCCTTCTTTTTCTGATCATTTTCCTTCACCCGTTTCAGGAAGCTGTCTCGGCTCTTAGAGTGCTTAATATATTCAATACGAACATTAATTCTCTGGGCAAGATTCTTGCCCTTAACTTGTTTGTTTACGACAATGCCAACCGCGTGCTGAGTAACATTGTAGACCCATCCAGTTTTGCCATGGTAACATGTGTGGGGCATTCCTTTTTGAACAGTGCCATTCCCTTGCTGTCTGCAATATCACCTTTCCTGTAGATTCACATGTATGTGGCCAAAGGAACAGCTCCACGTTTTCTAAAGGCCCAGCGAACACAGAGCGGGGGCCCCTCCTCTCTCCCTGTGTGTTGGTCGTCTTGACGGATTCCTGGAAGACGGCAGTCCCTAAATGTGTATTGTTTTATATAACTAACTGTTCATGGTGTTTGTCCATGGATGGGAGGATTTATGATGTCTTTGTTTTCCCTGCTTATGATCTTTATTGTCTAAATTTTCTAAAATGGTATGTGTCCTATAATTCACGGTCAGGAAAAAAACCAAAAATAATTAAAGGCAACTTCAAAGTGGAATTTGTAGCAGGATTAAGTAGTAACATTTTCTTCCTTTCACATAAAAATGTTTTAACAGGAATATAAATATGAAAGACTGGAAGTAAATATGATAAAATCTCTACTGTGGTTTTCCTGCATAGTAGGAGTATGAATGATTTAGGTGTGTATCTAATTTGTATACATTATTCCCTGTTCCCCTCCAAGTGTGTGTGTGTGTGTGTGTGTGTGTGTGTGTGTGTGTGTGTGTGAGTGTGTGTGTGAATTTTAAGAGAGACAGCCAAGGTTCTTTTGGAGGAAATGTCAGCCAACCAGATTAGGAAGAAATCTGGAGTTTTGCAGTGGAGTTTCTTTTAAATTTCCTCTTTACTATTCTGGTTTTAACAAGAAAAACCCGAGGCATGTATCAAAATTAGCAGTCATTTGCACGCTCTCTCTGCTCAGAATGTGTGGTGGGGATCCCTTGAAATTAGAAGAAGCTCCAGACACAGGTAATAATTTTATAGCCTGGAGCAAGGGGAGCTAGCCAAAGTTAGAGGGCTTTCGTAATGTTTGTAAGGATTTTTCTGAGCCTCACATTCAATGTAAAGCTAGGAAGGAGAGAGAGTAGGAGCAGTGGAGCCTGTAAAAGGAAGTTGAGTGTTAAGTGTTGGGTAAAGAGAAAGATGCCTATGTAAGAATTTTTAGTCCTTTACTGTTGACGTTACTAAGTCAGGTGAGAGTCTGCTGTTTTTCAGCAGGACCTGGAGCATATTTATTACAAGTAAGAAGGTAAGAATCCATGACAAATTGTTCAGTGGAGGCAGCATGCTCAGCTCCACTCATCAGTCCA